AAAGGGGAAGAAATGACCAAGTCCATTAAAGAGCCAGCTGTTCAGGGGGTCTCTGTTCACAGGTGAGAACCAGACCGCTGGAAACGGAGTTCGTGATGGGAAGTACTTCAGGGACCCCAAGGCATAGTTTTGGATTAAGGTGCAGCCAGACCAGAGGTGTTGGGACCCAGGCAACAAGTTAGGTCCTCCCTGACCCTGTTAAGGAGAGTGTTTCTTTGTGCAGGAAGAAACCAACAGCTTTCTGAAAGCGATCGAAGAAGCCAATAAGAAGATGCACATGGCAGAGATCAGCCTAGAGGAGAAAGACCAGAGGATCGGGGAGCTGGACAGGCTGATTGAGCGCATGGAAAAGGTGAAAGACCACCCTTGTCCCTTCCCCGCTCACAACCTGCCCGCCCCTGCCCTGGCAGGCCTATCGGACAACTTGGGAAGCCCTCAACACTCGCCTCTCTCATCCCTCCAATCTGTGATTACAAAACAGCAACCACAACACACACACACACACACACACACACACACACACACACACGTTTTGTTGGGTTTCCTTTTTTTCTATATACATAAGGGAGCTTCAGAAAGTGCATCGAAAATTTCCAGGATTTTGTAACAGCGCCCTTAATATATATGTTACGTTACAAAGTCTTGCTATGAAATCATAGGAAGGTTTTATTCAATGAAATTATCCCAGTGTGAAGCCCCCCTTGTTTCTTAGAATAGCCTCTGTCTAGGTTTGTATACTTCCGAAGGCAGAGTTCTCACATCGCTAACCCATGCCCGGAGAATTCCGGGCTCCTTGATTCACACCCCGTCAAAATTCACATCAAGTCTAGGGACTCGAGTTGTGTTCCTCTTAGATGTTTTTTGAGTTTGGGGAACAAAAAGAAGCCCGAAGGGGCAAGGTCAGGGCTGCCTAACCTTGGCTGAGGTAAAGTTTCCCAAGGAAAGGTGTATGACAGCCCTCGCCACCTTCCAAGAATGAGCATTGTGGTGAAACATAATCCCTCAGCGAAACATTCCTGACCTTCTCCTCCTCAGCAAACCACCCCACCCCCCGGCCCCCGTGGTCACTCTGTGCCCCCCAAGACACTCTAATCAAGATGACCCCCTTGGGAATTCCCAAAAGGGGACCATAACCTTCTGAGCTCTGAAGCCATCGCTTTGCATCTTCTCCAAGCACCCTGGTGGCGTAGGGGTTATGCATTGGGCTGCCAACTGCAAGGCAGGAGTTTGAAACCACCAGCCAGCTACACGGGACAGACGGCGGGGCTTTCTACTGGGTAAGAGTCACCCTCTCGGAAACTCTTAGCGGGCATCCACTTGATGGCAGTGAGCCTGGTTTTGCCAAATATTTTACTGGAGAACTGGTCGGCAGCCACCCACTTATGACAGAGACATTTTTAAAACATGTTCTATCTTCTTCCAGCACGTGCGGGAAGACCCGGGACTCTAGTAGCAGTACTGTCCCACTTACCCTCATATATAAGGGGGAGTCAACATTTTTGTGGAACTTTGCCATTATTCTAATTGAATTTTTAAAAATTTAAATAATTTAAAACACATTTTTTAATTAATAAAATTAATGAAATTTTGAAGCACCCCCCACCCCCTTGAAGTTCTGGTCTCCACCCACACACAACAACTATTTATTTTTTAAATTAAAAAAATTATTTTTGTGTGTTTTTTAAAAAAATATTTAATCATTTTATTGTGGGGTCGTACAACTCTTTTTTGTTTAAATCATTTTATTAGGGGCTCGTACAACTCTTATCACAATCCATACACATATCCATTGTGTCAAGCACATTTGTACATTTGTTGCCATCATCATCCTCAAAACATTTGCTTTCTCCTTGAGCCCTTGGTATGAGCTCCTCATTTCCCCCCTCCCTCCCCGCTGCCCCCTCCCTCATAAACCCTTGATAATTTATAAATTATTATTATTTTGTCATATCTTACACTGCCTGACATCTCCCTTCACCCGCTTTTCTGCACAACAACGATTTAGATGTTTTAAAGAAATCACAGGAGCGCATTGTCCCTGACGTCAGTATTTCCGGGTCCTGGCTTTGCCGGTGGCCCAAGCATCAAGAGGGTGCTTGTTGGGGAATCAAACTCTATGTAGCTGGTCCACCAACTGCCAGCCTTGCTGCGTCCGGGTCATGGTCTGCAGGGCTGGCTTCTTCCTGATGTGGAAGGGGTCAGGAGTGGGCAGACCGAGAGGTGGGGTGGAAGAAATGAAGCTGATGAGGGGGCAGGGCAGAGGCAGACCATCGGCGAGGAAGTGGGGACAAGGAAGCGTGGTGGGAGAGCGTGGCGGGGAAGAGAAATGGAGGGAGAAAGGAAGGATGGGTGACCGTTGACCTCTGGGGCAGGAGAGAGGGGCTGAGGCCCACGCCGGTGGCAAGTCAGTCTCTAATGGCACAGTGGTGACTGCTGAGAACGGGCGTCATTGGTGCCGCGGAGCTCCTATTCTGCATGCCCAGAACCTCCAGTGTGATGGAGGGTGGGAGGGCTGTGGCAGTGTTAACAAGGCTCACAAGTGGGCCGCTCCCAAGAAGAGGTCCCCTTAGCCCTTCGTGTTTCCAATAGAAACCCCTCTCCAGTCCCTGGACCAAGCAGAGTTGGGACCAGTGAGACTGCATGCTGTGGAGCCTGGGGGCTCTCCGGGGCCCCTGTGTGTATTGATTTCTTTATTTGAGAGGGACTTGAATGAGCTAAAGCATCCGTTACAATCTCCTCTCTGCCCCACTTTTTATTGACGTGAAAACGGTGGGCTTGTTTAGGACCAAAGTCAGCATGGGTTAGATACGGTGTTGGCGACAGCTCAGCAAGGACACTTTGTAGAAACGAGGAGAGCTTTCTCTCACATCATGGTTCCCTTTCAATTCCAGAGGACCCTTGGTGGTGTGGTGGGTTATGTATTGGGATGCTAACCGCGAGGTCCGGTCAGCAGTTCCAAACCACCAGCCCCTCCAGGGGAGAAAGATGAGGTTGACTGTTCCCATGAGGATTTACGGTCTTGGAAACCCCACGGGGCAGTTCTGCTCTATGCTACAGAGTTGCTACTCTGCTCTGTGCCACATGGGTCAGAGCTGACAATGGCAGTAGGTTTTACAAAAAAGCAGAAGAAGCTGTTTAACTCCGATGTTCTCGAAAGGTGACGGATTTCCCTGCTGCATAAAGAAGCAAGGTGAGGAGGCATTGTGGGGAGGTAGTCTGGCCTTCTTACAGTGTGTGTGGTGGCCAAGGACACCGGTTTTAGAATCATAGGCATGGAAGATTTGAATTTTGCTTCTCTTTCTAGTTAGGGGCAGTGATTTGACTTTTCCAAATTCGGTCTCCTATTCCGTAAGACACCGGTAAGAATCATCTTTATTCTTAGTCTTCCCGGGAGGAGTCGATGTGAAAAAATGATGCACGGTGCTAAACACAGTAACTCGGACATAGTGAAAATCAAACGCAAAAGCCGCTGCTGCCTAGTTGACCCCAACTCTTGTGACCCATGTGGGTCAGAGTGGAACTGTGTTTCTTGGGGTGCTAGTGACTGATTGTTCAAAAGTAGATTGCTAGGCCTTTCTTCTTGGGTACTTCTGGGTGGCCTGAACCTCCCATCTTTTGGTTAGCAGCTGAGCACAGTAATTCTGCACCGCCCAAGGCCCCCATAGTAAGGGCGCAACAATTTGTGACTGGCTTTCATTTTGTTACAGGCTTGCCTGAGTGTTCGCCTCTGAGGGTTGACACCTGTTTTATAATTGATCCTCTATGTCTCCTTGGGGTTCTGGGCTCTTCTGAGGGTTGAATGGCTGTGAGACAGGAAGGTGGGATGATTAGACCTGCCTATCAACATTTCTATAACACTCAAAATTGCCCATTCTCCAACCTGATGGTGGAGAGAAGCAGTAGTCTCTAAGTAGTGGGGGCTTTTTTCTTTTAGGATTGAAAATATATCGCTCTGGTCCTAAATCTTCTTTTCCACTTAGGCCGGAAAAATGCATTCTGTATTCAGCTATGATTAGCTATGCCAATTTACAGCCCATTCCCCTTCAGGGGTAAATCTTTGAGAGCAAGAATCTTGCCAAATTTCTTTCACACAGCTGTGAACATGTTGTCCATGAGCCAGAACTGTGGCCTGTTAGCATCCTGCTCTTACCTCATTGGGATATTGCTCACGGACAAGCTCTGGGCTTGTGAGCAACTTCCGAATTGTACGGTTCTGTTTCTCTTGATAATCATTGTATTCAAAACACCTGTTTCTCCTGTCTGTAACTGTCTTTTAAGGGGAGTGCTCTACCGAGAACCCTCTTCTGGATGATGCAGAAAATAATCAATAATTTTGCGATATCACAGGCCATCGATTTTGAGTAGGGTGGTCATTACTTGAACCCCAAACCAAACTCACTGCCATCAAGCCGATGCGGATTCATAGCGACCCTAGAGAACAGAGTAGAACTGCCCACGTGGGTTTCCAAGACAGTCATTCTTTCTTTTTCCAGAAGTAGGAAGACAGTCATTCTTGACGGGAGGGGAAAGCCTCATCTTTCTCCCTAGCATGACTTAGGACTATGCGTTTTGACAAGACATTGGAGCCTGGGCTAGTGAAATAGTTAAAAATAAATAGTTAAAAGTACAATTAAAAAATAATATAAAACCATTAAAAAACAATTGGCTCCCTCCATATTTACTTTTTTATTCTTTAGTCGAGAAATCCACACCAACTGATTTGACTTTCGTTGGACTTGGAAGGTGGGCTTGGAGTGGGCAAGACCAGCAAGGGGGTTAACGGCCCATTAGTGATAGGGTTGTTTGGTTTGCATTCTCTGCCCTCACGTGGGATCCTGGGAATAAAATATCAATTTTTGTCTGTTTTAGGAACGCCATCAACTGCAACTCCAGCTCTTAGAGCATGAAACAGAAATGTCGGGGGAAATCATGGATTCTAACAAGGGAAGGTAAGACATATGCCCCTCATGCCTTGGACATGCTATGGGTCTGCGGGGTCATTTAGCTTTTGCATTTTCACTCACGTGGGTGGCAACTATTGTAAGACCTTGGACTGAAAGCACCCAATGTGTAGCCAGTGTCTTTGGGAGCTTACAGGTACGTCTGATGACTGACCCCCGGTGAGTTGTCAGTGCACTAGCACACAGCAGAGACTACTGCAAGTGCAAAAGTTCAGTCTATAAATGTTCTCCATAACCTTGAACTCCACAGGATGCACCTTGCTGATGAGTAAACTCTTCAACTGTGACTAATACCATTTGCCCTGGAAACTAATTTCAAAATGTCTCTCTGTGTTGCCAAGCATTGCTGAATAAAACCTTGCCCTGGCTCTCACTGTCTCTTTTAGGAAATGCAGAGGCCGTGCATGACCTCTGGGTGGGATGATATGCACATTTCAGACAGGTCAACTGAGCCTGAGCGTCTCTGTTTAGCTGTACAAGGGGGTTATTTTTCAAAGGCAGTGTGTTGGTCATGTGGAGGATTGCTATCAGATACACTGCAGGTTGGTTGTCCACAACCAGCAGATGTCTTTTCTCACAGTTCAGGCGGCTTGAAGTCTGAATTCCCAGGAAGACTTTCTTTCTGCCAGCGCTTGAGAAACATTCTTGCTTCTTCAGCGTCTGCCTCCTTGTTTCTTACAGATGTCCATGTGTCTTGGCATATGCCTTACTTCATCTCAGCTAGCTAGCTTGTATTGACTGTATATACTCGTGTATAAGCCGAGTGTTCCAGCACATTTTTAATTTACGTTTTTTGTGGTAAAATTAGGTGCCTTGGCTGATATTCAGGTTGGCTTATACTCGAGTATATACGGTAATCTCTTTTTATAGCTCAAAACAGATTGATTCAAGGTATGCCCTTCACTGTTCCTGCCTGATGAACAGAACTAAGATAATCCAGTCCAAAATGGGATCGTAACCAAAGGCAGATAGAAGTGAGGATTTACAACACATGTTTTTTTTGGGGGGTGGGACACAATTCAATCTACAACATTCTGTCTTTCACCCCCCTAATTCACATATTGCTATACACAGAGCACATTCATCTCATCTGATCATCCCCAAAGTCTTCAATCAACTCCAAGTTAAATTTTCATCATCTGAATCACCTTTAGCTATCATTTATTGTGGGACAGAATTCTTCTTTCAGCTGTGGACCAAGCACAATGATGGAACAGGAACCGCGTAGACCGTTCTGTTACAAATGGGAGAGAGTGGTTGAGAAGAAGGGATGACACGCAACAAGCAAGTCCAGAACACAGTGGGGAAAACTACATTAGTTCTCAAGGCATGAAAATAATCATTTGTTCTCTGAGGTCATTTGGGCAGTGGCTGCTCCCTCCAGATCTGGCTACTTCCTGGCCTACTGGATTCTGGGTGAGGCACCCTCGGCCTTGCACTTCAGCTTCAGGCTCACTGGTACAGCATCTCTCCTTCCTTGGATTTCAAAACAAACAAAGACTCACTGCCATCAAGCGGATTGCGTCCCATATTTCCCTAGGACATTGAAGTGGCGATCCAATCCCCTGGGCCATAGCAAGTCCCTTTCTACTGGCCCTCGGGCATAGTAGCCTTGCCACCTCAGTTTTGGGTGGTGGCCTCTTCCTCCTGGCACCTCTTATCAGCAACCACAGACTCCAGAACCAAGTTGGTAAAGATCTGACTCTGAAATTTAGGAGGCTATAGCCCCCCCACCCCCGCCCCTTTGAGGCCCAGGAGACCATGCCTTCACCGTTTGAAATGGAGCAGGTGCTGTTTCTTCTGTTTCTTCAACAGCGCTGTTGATCTCTGCGCTCCTTCATGGCTGGCTCTTTCCTTTTCTTGGAAGACAACAGATGTGGCTCCTTTGGCCTGTCTCCTGCCTGTAGATTTCCAAGGGGCAGACAGTTCTTCTTCCTCTCATTCTCTCTTTGTCCCCTTCAGTTGACGCTGATAGGTTTTCTGCAGTGGTAGTTGGTTAGACCCTTCTGTCACAGGCTTGCTTATGTCCTGTCTTTAATGAGAGCTTCCATAGCCTTGACCTTGGTGAGCATTCCAGAACACATAGCCTTAGTTGGTACAACAGAAATTTCTAAATCTTTACTGTTTTAAATCCATCTCGTTCCTGTTGCACTGCGCTGTAAGTGGCAAGGAGAAACCACCCAGCCCCTTTAAGATTCTGCTTAGAAAGCTCCTCAGCCACGTAGTCAAGTTCAGCACTTACAAGTTCCACCTTCAACCAGACATTTGACAATAATGCAGTCGAGTTCTCTGCTACCACACAGAACTTAGTGCGGGTCGGGGGTGGGGTGGGGGCAGCCAACAAATCATCACTGGTCCAGTAGGCGCACTTGTACAGCGATAATAAGTAAAGATTATAGTAAAGTCATAAAGAGCATGAGAGATGGAAGAGAGATTGAAATAATAGAGTCAGACACAATTCATAGTAGCATGCTCACCTCAGCCCCGCTTGGTGGTCCTCGTGGGGAGAGCCTGGGACGAGAGAAGGAGAGCCCCACTTTATTGCTAACCAAGGGTTATCACTAATTAAGAGGGTGTGATTACAGGTAACCACACGTCACAGGAAGGGGCAGTACAATAGGCATCCGCATCATAGGAAGGGGATGTATAATAGGCATAAGTGTGACAGGAAGGGGATGAGCTAGGGGTGTGCATATGATAGGAAGGGGAGGGACTAGGGGTATACATGTGACAAGAAGGGCGGACCCTAGATTCATGATGACGGCCTAACCTTGGTCACCTTGAGTGGGCTTGACCTCTCTGGGGTCTCCTACAAGGAAACAGTCAACTACTATCCTTATCAGAAGGGAGTGGGCCCTACTTATTGTGGGATAAACAGTGGTGACTGCTTGCTCTAGATGGCTGATAGCTTTTAGGGAGAATGACTCCTGATCTACTCCTGATGACCTCCAAGTGTATAGTCATTCGCAAGCAGCTAAAATTGGCATATATTTGGGGGAGACAACTTGGAAGAAATCCTTCTGTTTCCCATAAGTTATGATCCCCCATGGAGGCCCTCACGGATCAATCTCCTGTGCATTATTTTCTTTTAAATGCTTATCAGAAGCTGATTTAGTGTTCATGTTTCCAGCACCATTTGTCGTTGATGCCGTACGTATTTTCCAAGAGGTGAGAATCGTTCTCTGTTGCTCTCCTCACTTCCTTCTCAGCCCTCACCAAAGTTGCTTTCAACATTCGTAACTCTACCAGCGGTCTCGTTAAAATGGCCTAGATTTTCATTTAGAGGCACTTTAATCTTCCACCCTCCACCCATGACCTAATTCCAAAACTGCTTCCAGATTTCAGTTGTTTGCTAGAGCCACATTCCACTCTTCTGGTACCAAGTTCTGTCTTGGTTACCTAGTGCTACTACAACAGAAATCTATTAAACTGGTGTCTTTAACAAACAAATATTCATTTTGTCACAATTTAGGAGGCTAGAAGTTTGAATTCAAAATGCCAACTCTAAGGGAAAGCTTTCCCTCTCTCAGCTCTGATAGCAGATCCTTCTCTCTTCAGCCTCTGCTTTCTGGGTCCTTGGAGACTGTGTTAGGCTGGGTTCTCTGGAGAAACAAAACCAGGACACTTGTGATTGAATATATTTGTGGATAGGTTTCTACAGGGAGAAGGATATAACAGCTAATTAGTCCACATAGCAGTACAGAGAGCTCAGTTCAACTCACTTTCATGGAACAGTTAATATACTGGAAGTTCTTCAATTCACGGGGACTGCTGGATCCAAGGTGAAGGAAGCAGACAGCGGAGTCTTCCCTGAGGCAAGGCAGGCAGAGGCTGCTTGAAGGCAGCAGTCAGCAGGGTGGGTCAGCAACGGTCAGTAACTCGGTCAGTAACTCCGGAGCTTAGCGAAGCAGGTCCCAATGGGATCTTGAACTCAAGCTCAGGGACAGGAATCACCAGCTTTAAGCAATGTACACCATCAGCATTTCTCGAAGGAGCCTCAAGCTCTAGCTGTACGATCCATGAGTTGACTTGGCCCACAGGTAGTGTCGCACACAGGTTGAGGCAGAGAACTAGCTAAAGCAGCAGCATGCTGGTTTGAGCACCAGGGAGCAAGAGAGATGGGATGGCGGCTGCTTTATTTATTTCAGTTGTCCTTCGATGAAGCTTTGGCTTGATTGATCTCTGCCCACATGTTTCTATTGGCCTATTTGGCACAATAAACCTAACCATCACAGAGACTCCCATGTGCCTGTGCATCTACCTAACCTCATCTCTGCTTGCTAACTTACATGTAGTCTCTTTTTACATCTCAAAAGAGATTGACTCAAAACACACCTTATCCTACTCCCATCTCATTAACATAACAAAGGCAACCCAGTCCCCAATGGGGTTATAAACAGGTTTATCCGTTAAGATCAAGATGACACATAATTTGGGGGGATACCATTAAATCTATAAAAGGTGGCTATGATGATGATATAAACAGCTGGGTGATATAAACAGCTAAAATACGTCACTAATCAAAAGGTTGGAGGTTCAAGTCCTCCCGGAAGCACTTCCTGAGAAAGGGCTCATGATCTCTGCTTGTGAAAGCCCTGTAGATGTAACTATACTCTGACACACACAGGGTTGCCATGAGACAGAAGTCAACAGCAATGGTTTTTTGATGATGATGATGGAGCTAGAAGAGATGGGAGGTGGTCAATGGACTGGTAGGCTCTTAGTCAGTGCTCCACAGAGAATTTAGAGTCCACCTGCTGATTTCTTTGGTTCCTTTGTACCAAGCAAAGTTGGGAGATGTTTTGTGCTGTTTCAACACACAAGTATGACTTTTTTTGGATACGGCTTGCTCTACTTTGATGCAGAGAAAGGCTTACAAACATGTTTCCCATTTACCTGAAAGTCAGTGATATGTAAGACAGCTGTAATTCCAGGATTCTCTCATTTGATTTTGGATATTATGTTGCTCCCCTCCTTACCTTCTCTGTTCTTCTGATCCAGGTAATCTGCTGGCATTCCCATATGGTATCAATACCACGGGAGCCTCCCTTGTAAATGGTACCTCCCCCCACAAGGTAAAGCTTGTGAGTGAGAACTTTAAAACGAGTCCTGTATTGCTTCTACAGTGTGAGTGAGAACTTTAAAACGAGTCCTGTATTGCTTCTACAGTGTGGGGTGATTGGGAGTTCATCACCCACTGTGTTAGACAGGGTTCTCTAGAGAGATAAAACCAAATTCTTGATAATATAATATATTTACTTATAAAGGTAATTAATATATAACAAGAAATGAAATGTTAAATCATAAAGATAATTAGATATATAACGAGAAATGAAATGTTAAATCATATACAGATAAATATACAATCATATACAGATAAATAAACAAGAAATAAACAGTTAAATTAGAAGCACTATAAACGGCTTAGTGCAACTCACGTCCGTGAGAGAAAGTTGAGAGACTAGCAGTCCTTCCAGTCTCTGTCTGATGCCAGATCTTCCTCTATTTGTAGAGAGAGCTAGGTTATGTCAGCACAGCAGCCAATCACAAGGCAGGTCACCAATTGCCAGTTCCCAGCTCCAGAGAAGTCTTAAAGGGACCTCAACTTACAGCAACACAGTCCACAGGCTAGGCGTCCCACAGGCTCTGTAGCCTTTAAATTAAAGCACAGAACAAGCAAGGCAGCCGCACACTGGTCCGATGATCACAGAGCGAGAGACAAGAAAGGCGAGGCTCACCAAGCCATCCATCTCTCCGCCCCTCAGTCAATCCCACCTGCGTTTATCAGCCAGGCTGGCACAATAAACTGTCTCACCCACCTAGTTGATTTCATCTCATCATTGTCGTCTTCAGGGATGCAGATTGCCTGTCTTTCTCTCATGGAACAGCTGGTAGGTTTGAACCCCTGACCTTTGGGTGAGCAGTGAAATGCTTAACCACTGTGCCACTAAGAATCCCATGTTAATCACAACACACACAATGTCAGGAGAGGCTATTTTTGGAGTTTAACTTTTTTTCTCAATAGTCTTATTGACATATAATTTACATATCATACAATTCAATAGTTTAATCATATCAAGAAGAGTGGTCCATTCATCACCAAAATCAATTTTAAAACATTTTCTTCATTCTTGTACTTACTGTGATGAGCTCCCCATTTCCTCTCAACCACCCCTGCCCCTCCCCCATGGAGCCATCAATCCAGTTACCATCTTCATAGATCTCCCTATCCTGATTTCATATACAGAAAACATTTTAAAGAAAACACTAACCGTTAACATCCAGCGGTCTGGCCTGCAGCGAGGGATGACCTGAAGAAAAAGAGTGGCCAGTGGACCGATGATCCAAAGGCAAATTTTATTTCCAAAGTACAGCTTTATATATAATGAGGCAAGGGTCCATAGCACGCAGAGTGTAACAACAACATGGTGATAAAATTGCTCTCAGCACAAACAATTTGTTGGGCTAAACACATTCAGTTGTGCTCTCAGTGTGCACGGGGCATGTGAGAATGTGGGAAAAGATATGACCATAGTCCCAGCATTCCGGGTTACACAGTGTCCCCAAGCACCCCAGAGACTCACCACTAAACTCAGTGACTCTCTCTACCTAACAACAAGAACCAAGTAAAAGAGATAAAGACCTCAATTAAAAAGAAAGCAGAACATGTTAAAAACTAGAGCACATTGAAATGGATCCTAAGGGAGATCAGGTGCTAAATGCTAACCTCACTTCATCTGTGGCAATCCACATGCCAATGCTTTCTGCGTGGCAGCAAGGTTCTCGATTCATAACCCCGGTCCATGCTCAGAGGGGACTCAACAGGGTTCTTAGTCCACGTGTATTTTCCTGCCCCTCTTTTACTTTGAATGCAACAGCTTTAAAATGGGTCAACGGGGAGATCAAATGATAAGATGTTACATTTTACCCTCACTACCTCTGTCACCATTGGCTTTACACTGCTCTGTCTGCTAACAGGTCCAACCAGCTCTTTCAGCTGTGACCGGAGGGGATTCATCAGAGGCGTAACCCATGCCGTTCCATTTCTTGCTTCTTGGCAAGCTTTCTCTAAAGCTAAGAGCCTCGGTGCCGATGTTGCTGCCTTGGCTTGGGATTCATTTGCTTTTCCCTCTCAGTGTTAGGTATCAGCAGCTTGAGGAGGCATCTGCCAGCCTCCGGGAACGGATCAGACACCTGGACGACATGGTACACTGCCAGCAGAAGAAAGTCAAGCAGATGGTTGAGGAGGTTAGTGAGCACTTGTCCAAGTTCGTGGTGCACACAGACCTCACTGCCTGTAGCCCCAGCCAGCTCTCAGCCCAGTTTCCTCTGGCTTGCAGGTGAACTTGTTCTGGTCACTGTCTTGGCCCTGACGGGTGTTTCCTCATATGACCCTTGATGACCGCCTTGCTAAAAGGAGGGCAAGGACTACCTTTAAGAAAGAGCTATTTTTAGTCAAGCTGTGAAGCACAGTTAATAAGCTCACACACTTTCAAAGTGCTGTGATATCCCACTCTGCTGCCTAGAGCTGAGGGGACAAGAGCTATGCCAAACAAAATCTCCTTCAGCTAGGTCTCTGTTCCCCACCTCTGCCTCTCTCCCTGCCATTGAGTCAATGGGACTCATGGTGACCCCCTTCTAAGACTGTATGTTTATGGGAGTAGAAGCCCAGTCTCTCTCCCAAGGAACTATTGGTGGTTTCAAAGCGCCAACCATGCAGATCACAGCCCAACACTTAACCACTGCACCACGAGGGCTCCTCTGCTCACCACTCTAGTTTTCCCTCTAGTTCTGGGTGTCTTTTTTCCTTTCCCTCTCTTTTTCTCTCCCTTTTCATCCTTCTTCCTTCCCCTCGTTCTACTGCATCCTTGCTCGTTTCCCCATCCCTGTGCAATATGGAGCCCACTTCCATGCTTGCTGTGTACTCGACATGGTGTGATATTCTAGTTCTCTAAGGGGAAAACAACAAAAATAACAGGTAAGCTTTAAAAAAGTCTTTTAACTTGAATTAATATCATCTGCCTATTTCTTGTGATGTTCCACAGAAGGAAGCCCATGTGTTATAAAGCTAATCCCAGATTACAGTGATTCCTCCCCGCCTCCCACCCTTTGTTCATTTAAAAAATAGAGCAAGTAGGTACTGAAAATCCGATAGGAATTTGGAAGGTCTAAATCTCTAGCCTACAAGGAGTAGTGGAAGAACTGACGAAAGCATTTTTCAGTTCTTTCTCTGTACAAGAAGGTTTCAAAGAGTTCGTGGGGAAATGGAATGATTGTGGAATTTTCCCACAAACTCTCTGAGGCCTGCTCATATTAAACCACCACTCTGAAAAATGCATTCCTTTTGTGAATCCATACAATGTTGGAGATAGTTGTGACATGTGGGGTTATGATCAAGGAACTGTGAGGGTGGGAAGGGGACATCTTTTAACCGTCTGTGTTGGAGAAACACACACATTCAATAAAAATCATTTCCCCAAGAAACCCAGCTGAGTCTTACGTGACTTATACGGGCTGGTCTTCAAGTGTCTGGAGCTCAGTAGGCTACCTGCTAGATGTTCAGATGTGGAAATCGTGCCCGTATCCTCCCAGGCCAACTGCACACATGGCAGCAGTGCCACCAGCAGCACGGAGCCTGCCCATTGATCGACCCTGCAGGTAGATGTTAGGGGTTGTTCCTCCAGGCAAAGCGCCACGTTGTCACTCTGAGCATCTTGGAGAGCCCTGATTTTCAGATCAAAGGATTTCTGCCTCTGAATTTCACCCATGAGACGTGTGGGATGGAGCTAGCATTTCCTTTCTCCAGATGACTTCTTATAACTGCTGAGGACAGCCTCCTCCTTCCTAACCATAGATTGGTATTCCATATCCGTTCAGGGTCTCATATATAGGGCCCGTGAGCAAAATGTCCTACTGGCTAGTTTCTCATGAAGTGTTTAGCTGCAAGGGCATCAGACGGACACCAAGATCAAGATGTTTGCTGTTACTTTTAACAGACAGGCTCCCCCCACCCCCTCATTGCCCCGCGGAGCCGGCGGTTTGGGGCTAGCACTCACGTTGCCAAAGCAGTGCCAGACACAGGTCGCCCCTGGCCCTGCTCCTTCAACTACGCAGGGCACAGCAACCTGTGCAGTCGGATGCTGTCCGCTCCAGGGAAATTCTCCAAAGCAGTAAAGATGTGCTGTGAAAAAAACAAAAAAACCAAACCAGACGTGCTCAAGGAAGTTTAGAATTCTGTTTTCTGACATCCTTCCTGCAGAGAGCAAGCATACCAATCTGAAGGGAGTATGTCTGTGGGCAGGTGTGTACAGTATACACCTGCACCTCATCATTATCGACTGTTTTGCTTTCTGAAATTTTGCACGGATGGCAATGGTGAGCAGTTTGCCATTGGGCTCCTTTGTGCCTCAGCAGCCTACGTCTAGCAGCAGTGAGTGCTGACCTGTGAGGTGAGAGTCACGCTTACTGTGATGGGTAAGGTGGTGTGTCGATTTGGGATGAAATGTGGCAGTTATGGAATGATGGAGCCATTCTCCGTTTTGTGCTCTGAGCTGGTCACCCTCCGTTTTCACACAATGCTGATTTCTGCACAACCACCGGGTCTTCGCGACTTCACCGTCACTCAGGGAGAAGTGGGTGCATAGATGTGACAATAAGGAGCTCTGGTGGGGTGACTCTTAAGCCCTCCTGAAAAGCTGACCATGTGACCCCCACTCTGTAGCTCCCTGCGAGACAGACCTGGTGAGCCGCTCACGTAAAGGAAAGCTAGGTGGCACTTCTAACCTCTCACACGGAGTTTCTGGGAGTTGAATCAGCAATGACACTGAGCAAATCAGGGTGTCTGCTTTGGTTTTCCACCTGTGACTTCTCTCACACGCACGCACGCCTCTGTGAGTCCTAAGAAGCCCAGGGCAGAGCAGTCATTGCCCTGAGCCCAAAGGGGACAGCCATCCGCGTTAGCGCCGCCTAGGGGACGGCTGAGGTTCCACAGTGGATGGCGGCTTCAGACAAAGGGAGTCATCAGAAAAGAAGGCCTTTTGTTCTGATTTACTTACACGAGGTTGTAAACATGAGGGTGCTTGCTCAGGATGCTGTGGTAACTACCACAAAAGGGTGGCTACCGGCTTCAGTTGCTGTGTGTTTTTAAGAAAAAGGGAAGAAATTTATTGGGGTCCATACAGGAAACCCCAAAGGGGCCCAGCATACCCTACTGTATAGGCATGCCCAGCAAAGGATCATACCATTCACTCTTCCCCCATGCCCCAGGGGGACTCCCCTTGAGCCGAGCCCCAAAGCCCAAGGACTGGCTGGGGGTGGGGACGGCTGTGTGTCTTTTAAAAGTGAGAGAGCGAGCAATGGAGCAGTGACTGGTGAGAGCTTTTGGAAGGGCACTGGTCTTCCTGGGGAGGGCTGAGAGACAGGAGTCGGGGTGGACATGGCTGAGCAGAGACCCGGGCACTGAATTCACGCCTTACAAAACAATAGTCCCAAAGAGGAATGTCCTTTTGTTTCTTATTAAGATGCAAGGCCAGGCCAGAACCACTGGGTGGCACTTGCAAAAAGGCAAATTTCAGCTCTTCCTGAACTTGAGGAAAATGTTTCCAGCTGAGGCTGTCCTGAGGGGATTTAACCCTTTCCTTTACAATGGGTGCATTCCTTTAGGACCCAAGAAGTTGACGGGGCTGCTCTGGCATTTCTGTTGAAATTCTTCTGTCTTCTGTCATCTGAATGACATCTGTGTCTGAAATCTGGCAGCGTTTGACGAGTGTCCCTTATCGTCCACAGAAGTCAGTGTCTGATATTTCTTTCCTGTGCTGGCTCTGAGACCAAGCTCTCAGCAAACCATTACTTTGGCAGAATGAGTGAAGTTGGCAAAACCATACCGCCCTCACTTTATTTTTAAAAAAATCCAGACTCCTGATTGGTCACTTGTGGAATCGCCAACTCTGATTCCGGAAACGCTGACAGGCCCAAGTGCAATGACGGCAGACAACGTACCTTCTGTGAAGCGTGGGATAGACCTTTCTATCGTGTTGCTTGGCCTGGGTGTCAGGGGCTGTTTCTCACCCTCCCAACACCAGTCCTTCCAGCTGGCTCCTGAAAACAAGGCAACAAATAACGCACCACCCCCACCCCCCATGGAATTTTTAGGATTTACCAGAAAATAGAGAGAAATACTCTGGGATTGAAGAAAGTCGCTCTCCTGGGGAATTCCTTCATTCAGCGGATAGTTACTCCGCCCTTTCTCTGAGCCAGACGCAGTGGGAGTGACGTCGTGACACCCTGATGTCCTGGCGTCCTTACATCCTGTGGTGGTACCTGAGACCCAGGGTAGCCTGGTCCCCAGATGCCAGTCTCCTGTTGAACAGCCTGTGGGGATTGGGCCTCTTGCTGTGAGCTGGGCTTCACTCTGTAGAGGCCCAAGAGGGGTGGTGTAGATGGCTGCTCCGCTGCTGACGAAAGGTCAGAAGCCTAAGTCCACCTAGAGACACTGCAAAACCAAGGCCTGGCCCTTGGAAATCCTGCTTGGACACTGGGGGTTGCCTGACTAACAGGGTGATAGCCCTTGGTCTTTTAGATGGCCGCCCAGAGAAGCCACCTGCCCCCAGTCCCCCTGCAGAACCTGGAAGGGCAGGCCAGAGAAGTTAACCCCATTCACACATCCTCTCAGTGCAGTTTCTTCTGTAAACTGGTCCTTCACACCTCGGTACCTCCTCTGCACGGCTGCTTCCCCTGCCAGCCCAGGCAGCAGCTTTCCTGCTCTGGGGAAAATTATCCGGAGGAAACAAAAGCCCCAAGGAATGCTTACTTGCCCTCCAAGTGAGATGATTTACATTTTTGCCAGTTGAAGATGATGTTATTCAGCTGAGCAAACAGTGATTTTTCCAAGCCTCCCCTGGCCTTTCCCCTTCAGCCATAAGGGGCTCTGCCTGCTCTGTAATCATGTCCGTCTTCTTTCTGATTTCCCCTGGTGGTTTGTGATATGGGACATTTTCTCCAACGGAAAGTATCTGAAAGGGGTCGGGAGGGAAGAATTATTTCTGCTTACTGTAGTCTTTTCTAGAAAGCAATTGTTTCCTCCTCTCCCCCTTCCTATCCATTCGATCCATGGTTCTCCACCTTCCTAATGCCGAGACCCTTTAATACGATTCTTCCTGTTGTGGTGCAACCCCCCAACCATAAAATTATTTGGCGGGACAGTCCCGATTTTTAACAATTTTTCCCCGCGTCCCGCGTCATTTTTTAAA